TAACAATACCCGATACTCCGCCACCGCCTCCCTTGTGCATGCATAGTATCGTCATCGGGGCTATCGGAGGTATCGGAACGATCTACTAAAACTCTCTAATAACGACTCCAGTTGCAAAGAACGAAGTAATAAAACTGGGTGCTTGCTACGCAAGCAAGAAGGAGACGAGAGGAGACGTCAGAGCGCCGAGCTTTGATTGGAAAGAATAGTGGGTAGAGCTAAAGCTGGCTGAATTCGTCTCCACTGTACATTGCGCATACTAAAGCTGTGCGGTACAGTGGAAGCTACGAGGTGTCAAGAGGCTCGCGCAGTCCGCGCACCAGAACATATATAGTGCCAAGTTGTAGTCGGGTTTTCTCTCAATATTTTGCAGTGTCTGACAATTTAGGCGCGCCAAAACATAAAAAAAGAAACTAATTTTCATATTGTATTAAATTATGTCTTTTTTTTACTCCGTTAATTGTCTCAGTATTGTTTTTCGTTGAAGAATATAGTTCTGCTGCTAAGTGGCCAATTCGCCGTCGACGTTCGGATCTGAGCAAGCATTTCAACGCGAGTTCAAATAATGCATCGCCAAAATGCGAAAGAATAATTATTAATCTGGATATACCCCGAGATAAAGATCCATTCACTGACCGTGTTTGGGGCGGCTCAGACGACGCCTTTCGTTGTGTTCCTCACCACCATGAACGCAATGGTTGACATCGTCTCTCCCCCGCGGAAAAGCATCTTCTTACCCCACGCGAGCCAAGCAGATAAGTTTAAACGTGCTCGGTCAGCTGAAGGAAGGAAGCGTGAAGATTGCTAGCACCGAATCCATCTTCGAAAGGGTGGCAGCACTGAGCGTGTCACCAAGCGATCTCTCTACAAGTGGGCAAGTCAGTACAACGCAAAAAACAAGGCAATTTTACACACACAAAAAAAAAAAAAATCATCTCGGGGAGCGAAGGGTTACGTAAGAAAAATGAAATTGGACGATTTTGACCTGAGAATTCTAAGGAGAATTGTTCACGGGTTTTTCCGTGATAATAAAACTCAGATGGTCTCGAAGATTAAACTGAGGTTCGACGACGACGACGACAACCTACCCAGTGTGTCCAAAGCAGCCCTTTATCGGATGCTAAAGAAGCTGGGCTTTAGATTTAAGCGCCGCTTTCGCAACGGCCATCTGATCGAGACAGCGAACATTGTGATAGAGGCGTTGAGAAGGCAGAGATGGCCCATTTTCTACACCGACAAGACGTCGGTGAACGCCGGGCTCACCCACTCGAGTATCTGGGCCGACGTGACCGTGATAAGTGCGCGTGAGGCCAAGCGCTCCTGACTTGCACCGGGTTGAAAAACCCCAGCGGCAAACGTGGGAGGCTGATCGTCACCATGTGGGCAACGAGAACGACCTCTTTACGGTGAGGGGAAAGGTTTCCGCGCAAAAACGGCAAGTGGTGATTGCTATGAAGGAATGGACGGAAAGCACTACGAAAGGTGGTTGGTCGACTGCTCCCTCTCCTACCTCCAGCACTGACAGGCTGAAGTCCCGAGCACCTCGCTTCTCGGCCGATCAGACTGCGCCATCGGCCTAGAAAAGAAACAAGACGTAGCAAGTCGTGTAGCAAGTCGGCCTAGTTTCCACAGCAGCCCAGTGGTTCATTGGCCTAGTTGCTTCACAATGGACCTTTTCCACATACCGACGGCACCAGGCGGTGGCTGCACGAACTAAAGGTCGAGGAAGTGACCTACCTGCGCTACCAATCGATAATGGGAGCTACAATACCAGTTTCTTCGCTCTCTGAGCAGCGGCGCCTGCCCAACGCGACCTTAAAAAGGGGCATCCGTGGCGTCCACCCAAACGTCGTGTTTTCCTTTCCGTCGACGTTCTTTTTTTGTGTAACACAATTATATATATGCTGCAGTTACGTGTTCTACTCACTGATATACAGCCTCCTTCCGAATTTCCTCGATTTTTTTGTTCCGACTTCCGCCGCTTGGCATCGGGCGCTCGCGCGTGCGCAGAACGCTTCTCGAAAAAGGTCCATTTAAACTTTATCGAAGTGCCGAAGGCCACAAGGACTAAAGTAAGACAGCGCAAGGCTTGTCTTTAATTGCATACAAATTCGTACTTTATTTCTTAAAAAAGAAATTAAAAAAATGGTGACGTCAATTGTTAGCGGCTGGTGCTTTTATTCGCATCATTGTCTACCCCAAGAACAGGCCACAATTGAAACTTCCACGAGGGGTATTGTGGAAATATACATGTTCTTCTTTTTTTTTTTTTTTAAGCTGAACAGATTTGCTTTAGAAAAGGCGTGAATACTACACTTATGCGGGTTGTGCGGGTAAGTTATACGACCAGGGGGACATAGTATTAGGGGGATAATCGTAACGATCAGTCGTCTAATTGGGCAAATGTCTTGCTTACATTTTTAATAAACGAAAATAAACATATAGTTCCACTGAGAAACTGGCTAAGCACGATCGAAAACCAATACATCAACTTTAAAAACAAATATATAGAGAATGCGGGGTCATCATTTTACGGCGTTCGGTAAAAGCGCTCCATTTGGACTCGTTTCTAGGTTTCGGCTTCTTATCGGAGCGCATCTCTGCGTCCGCGGTCCTGCTCCCCTTTGTCTGAGTCGCCCAACACACGTGCGCCCCGCTTCCCTCCATTCCACGAGGGAGCAGAGGGGGTGGCTTCGCGCCGCGACCACCCGGGGCAGGACCGCGGGGGCAAAGATGCGCTCCGATAAGAAACCGAACTCTAGAAACGCGTGTGAATAAAGGGCTTTTTCAGAACGCCGTAAAATTCTGTCCCTTGCTAAGCATCTTAGCTAAGCATCTTAGCAAGTTTATAAATGAAACCTTTTGTCTGTTTTCTCTAATTAAAAAAAGTTTTTTTAAAACTTAATTTAACTTAATTAGCTTGCCGATCGTTACGATTAGCGCTCATACTGCGTCCCTCTCGCCGTATAACTCACCTGCAGAAACCGCATAAGTGCAGCTTTCACGGCTTTTTTTAAACAAGTCTGTGAAGCTTCAAAAAACCAAACAAACAAACAACACCTTAAGTGAAAATGCAAAAGTTGCAGGTTTAGTTTTTTTTTTTCCCCGGGGCTTAACCCTGAAAAAAAAACATTTTTTTCCTTTTTTTTTAATTTTTGGCTGCTCATTGGTTTGCAAAGAAATGTGACCTTGTTTTGGGTCGCAAAAAAAGTTCTTTCAAATAGAGCTCGCTTTAGAAATATGGAGTACGTGCACCGCATTAAACGAAGCAGGAGAGCGTGTTGGTGAATAATTTCATGGGCTGCGGAAGCAAGAAGGAAGCAGAAAATAATATAGGCTACTATACCCATTCTCAAGTTTCTTTGTGTCGCTTGTTGCTTTGTGTTTACGTGTTACGCACACCCTCCGTGTATGAAATGTTCCTCGAACATTGCCAGTTGCGTAATCTACAACTTAAAAAAAAAACTTGGGCTTTTTTTTTTTATTTTTAATAGCGCTTTATAAGAGTAGTTACCGCTCACCTGTGCAAATCGTCTGCTTGTAAAAGAGGTCATTACAACGCAAAAGTGTTGAAAGTTGCGGCAGCCGTCGAATAGAGTGAGCGGCGGAGGTCAGGCTCCCGTGTTTGAGTGAGAAAAAGACGCAGACTGCCTAAAATGGGAACGAACTCTTGAGGCGAAGTTGTAGGAACACAAGCCTAGTAGACCCAGACATGTGCTTAACGCGTTACTTGTAACGAGTTACTTCTACCAAGTTACTTTTTTTTGATACCGAGTAACGTATTTAGTTACTTCTTTAGAAAAGGAACGAGTAAAGTACTTAGTTACTCTTAAGGCCAAGTAACCAGTAGCGGTGTTTCTGTACTTGGGAGGAGTAACATGTACAACAACGTTTAAACAGCCTCGTTTTGATTCTAACCCGAGTGTGCGCCTATTGTGACAAAGGCAGAAGGGCAACCCTAAAAACAACTAAACAGAATAAAAGTAAAGCAGCGTTTATCGCTGAACACGTCAGTCGAACTCCCAAGCTGGGAATGTCCTTCACCCAGAGAACAGAATGAGGTTGAACCTTGTAGAATCGTGTACACACAGAATGTAAACCCGGAGGTTGCTAACACGGAAAAGTACAGAACCCATTGTCAACTTGGAACTTTAGAAGCATAGAGAACAAAAAGGGAGAGGAATCCCAGATTCACTAGCTCTTCCTGAAGTACTACACTGCCGTTCCTTCGAGCGCGTCAAGTCGACAGAACGACTCTTCAGCGTCGCCGAAGATGTGTTCTCAAGGAAGCGAGAAAATATAACCCATGAAAAATTTGAGAGGCAGCTATTGCTCAAGTGCAACGACTACCGAAAAGAAAACAATAAACCGTGAAAGTAAAGCAGTTGTGTATTTGGCCATCAAGAAAACGATAAAAGTACTCGCTATATACTTTCAAGGTAACGTAAGGCTCCTTCGAATCGGTAACTCGGTTACTCCTTCGAATCGGTAACGAGTAACGTATCTACTGAGTGTCCGAAGTAGCGGCCAATCTCTTTAAATCGACCGCGAAATTCGGTTTCTTAGCCTATCGCGCTACAATTTTTTTTGCAGCGTTGCCCGAATACGGTGCATTTTTTTTTTGTGAAATTTGCAAAGAGCGAACTTACCTGTGGAAAAAGTAAAGAAAGAAAAGGCTTAGTTCCTATGGTCCACCAGTCTTCAAACAATACGGCGAAGTTTCGCACGGGACACAAGAGATGGCGCAAGCGGTAGCGACGCCAACTGCCGCCAACGAACGAGCATACAGCGCCGAGAGCCGGTGTGATTAGCAGACAATCTTTTCGACTCAAAAGCGGCGCGAACTTTTAGGGGCGAAGCTCCTTAGGGTCTAGCCTTCTCCGTCCGGCGTCCGTGCTCACATCGATCTTGCTAGTGCTCGTGCTCGTGCTCGTGAGCTCACGTGCTCACGTGCTCGTGTAGGGCAAAAAAAAAAGTAAATGGTGAAAAAAAAATGTCTGCACAGTCCACAGGATTTAAACCTGTGCGCGGGAAGACCCCTTTGGATTTTTAGTCCATCGCCTTAACCACTCGGCCACGACTGCGGGACGAGTAGGGGGCTCTGAGATGTGGTAGTAACTCAAGAGCTGGGGATGTCATGGATGAAACGTTGCATGTAACTGCTCAACGTCTATACAGGAGAGGGCGCTGCGGTCAAATGCGTATATAATCGCAGAAGTGTAGTAAGTTGGGCGAGTTGGTATGATGACATGATGAACAGAACAGCGCACACAAAGACAAGGACAGAGAAAAGGAACATGCAGGACACACAGCGCTTGTGTGTCCTGCATGTTCCTTTTCTCTGTCCTTGTCTTTGTGTGCGCTGTTCTGTTCATCATGTATATAATCGCGTTAAACTTTGCATGCATTGGCTCAATGTTTATAGACGAGAGGGCGCTGCGGTCAAATGCTCAAATGCGTATATAACCACGTTCCATACCACACATTCTCTTTCTGACATGGATAAAAACGAACGAAAGGCTCGGCATGCTGCGGCTCAGCGTCTACGCAGACAAGCACAACCAGAGCTTCGCCCCAATCAACATCATCGACCACGTGGAGATGCGGTAAATTTTTTGACATCAGTTGCCAATACATTATTTTATTATTCTTACTAATAGAACACATTTAATGGACAGATAATCGAATAAAAGATGGCTTGTCGGTTATTGTCATTGTTTTTTTTTTCGTGGTACTTATGTCGTCTGCTTTGAAGTTCCTTGTTGTTACCGCGCCTGTTTTTGTTTCTTCGACTGTCGCCGCCTCCCCAATGCGCGCCGCTTTTGAGTCGAAAAGATCGTCTGCTAATGACGCCGACTCTCGGCGCCGTATGCTCGGTCGTTGGCGGCAGTTGGCATCGCGACCGCTTGCGCCATCCCTAGTCTCCCGTGCGAGACGGCACCGTATTGTTGGAAGACGGGTGGCTTCGCTGCGTTTCCATAGGAGCTAAGTCTTTTTCTGTCTACTTTTTTCCTCAGGTAGATTCGCTCTTTGAAAATTAAAAAAAAAAAGAAAGTCGTTTACAGCACCCTATAATGCCGAATTAGAGCGCAGCTCTTGAGGAGGAGGAGGGAAGGGTACTGAGGGGAGGGTATACCCTTCATCACCTCCTCGTCCTACCTGCTACTCCTCCTCCCTCCTCCTCGTCCTCCCCTCGTCCTTCAAGTTCCTCCCTCCCTCCTCCTCCCCCTTCCCTTCTCCTCTTCCCCTTCCTCCTCCCCCTCCTCCTTTCCCCCATCCTCTTCCCCCTCCTCCTTCCTCCTCCTCCTTTTCCCCGCGCGGTGCATTATGGGATATTTCCCACAATGCACCGCGCGTTTACAATGACGGCAACGCCAACCGCAGTGCCAACGGCGACGGCGACGCCGACGGCGACGTCGACGACGACGCCGCTCAAGCCGGGAACGGGCGCCTAAGAGCTGCGCTCTAAAATGCACCATCTGTAAGCAACGCTGCACAAAGTCGTAGAGCGATAGGTTAAGAAACCGAAATTTGCGGTCGATTTCAAGAGCCTGGATTCTATTTGGGACACCCGGTAGTTAAATTTGGAGGCAGTAACGAGTAGCGGTATTTATTTACTTTTTATTTGGGTAACGTGGACATGTCTGAGTCGACCCCACGCGGCAGGCAGTGGCGTGACGCAAGACGCTGGTCGTTGCGGGGGAAGACGTCGGCCACGGGGAAAGATAGAACTGGGCTCAAGCTACTTTCGGTGACGCTTCGGCGTCCGTGAGCCACGAGCGTGCACGGGCAGCCAAAGCACGGCGGAGGGTCGTGTGGAGGAAAGAGGCGTCATTCTCATCTTGTCAGTGAATATAAGATGGCGCCCTCGTTCCTTTTGGGGAAAAGTAGCGGGGTCCTTACGTCGCAACCGTAACAGTGACAAGGACGTAACGGCGATACTGCTAACGCGTTACGTAGAAGTTTTGTACGTAACGCGTAAATATATATATCCTGTATATTTGCTAGTTAGTTGTAAACCATTTAATGTCGTGTTATTTGTTTGTTGTTGTATGTGTGAACCAGTGGCGTACGCAGGATTTCATTTCGCGGGGGGCCGGACCAACGAGAGTAAAGGGGGACAAGATAAAAAGAAAAGAAAGTTCAAGAGAAAATAAAAGCATGTTCATTTTTTTCTAATAACTATGCATTCTTCTATTAAGTAATTAAAATAAAGTTGTCATATTGGTTTTGGGATAATTAAAATATGGCAACCAACCAATTCCTAAACATGTAGGAGCCCTACGTTTCGAACCGACTCGGTTCTTCGTCAGGGGCGACTGTGGCCGTTGAGGAGCGACGTTTTTCGATCTTCTTTTTCTTCTCTCAGGGATGTGGCGCATTTCTCGATCTTCTTCTTTCATGAATATGGCGAAGCCCGTTCACATACACTGTTGGTAAAGCACCAAGGCACCTATTTATGTTGCCTGGCGTCGTTTGAATATGCCAGGACTCGACGAAAAGCCTATGTCGGTTGTTAGTCTCTGCGTCGATAATGCTGGTGTTGTCGAAGTCAATCCGGTGGTCTTTGACTTCGCAGTGCTCGGCGACTGCGCTGCGCTCGTGGTCGAGCTTGCGAACGTCGTTTTTGTGTTGGCGTATTCTTTCATTGAAATTCTTTGTCTCGCCGATGTAAGTGGCTGGACAATCTGCACAAGGGATCTTATAAACCACGCCCTGCGTTTTTAACGCAGGGCGTGGTTTATAAGATCCCTTGTGCAGATTGTCCAGCCACTTACATCGGCGAGACAAAGAATTTCAATGAAAGAATACGCCAACACAAAAACGACGTTCGCAAGCTCGACCACGAGCGCAGCGCAGTCGCCGAGCACTGCGAAGTCAAAGACCACCGGATTGACTTCGACAACACCAGCATTATCGACGCAGAGACTAACAACCGACATAGGCTTTTCGTCGAGTCCTGGCATATTCAAACGACGCCAGGCAACATAAATAGGTGCCTTGGTGCTTTACCAACAGTGTATGTGAACGGGCTTCGCCATATTCATGAAAGAAGAAGATCGAGAAATGCGCCACATCCCTGAGAGAAGAAAAAGAAGATCGAAAAACGTCGCTCCTCAACGGCCACAGTCGCCCCTGACGAAGAACCGAGTCGGTTCGAAACGTAGGGCTCCTACATGTTTAGGAATTGGTTGGTTGCCATATTTTAATTATTGTATTCCCCAACCAGAGAGATTTCTCTCAAATGTTTAGTTTCAAATGGTTTTGGGATGATTATGATACATAAAAATGATGCCCCGGAAATTCCCCACCAGGAAGGCATTTGCATTTTACTTTTTTTATTTACAAGTCACGTCAAAAGAAGGCACCAGAGTAAGCAGAAAACAAGAATCATAAAAACAAATACTTTATGAAGCACGACTCCAATGCATAAAGCCTCCAGTCATCGGGGCTGATAAGACGATGATGCATAATTAGAAACGCGGAACATTTTGATGGATAGACGATAGGCACTGGAAAGCCGCTCCACCATAAAGTACTCCCTATCTTAACCTGATCTAACCAACAAAAATCTCGCGTGATTTGTTCGTTGGTGTCGATTTCTATGGTTTCCGAAGTCCGCTCACAAAAGAAAGTCAAGGAAGTCACACAACGCAACAAAGGGACGATGTAATATGGTTTACACACTCATATAATGCACTTGGCTCTCGTCCTGAGGCAGCAGGTCGCACACTCGCGAGTCGCGCCCCTATCTCGCGCGGTTCTCAAACTGCCGATGACAACTTCGGTACTCGAACCTTGAACCGCAAATCCCGCGCCTTTAGGCGCCTATATTCACTTTTCTAAGACTTTTCCCGCCATCCGAGGAGCTAATCAGATATCGCTCTTTTTAGACCAATGGGAGCCACGTGGTACAAAACAAACACATACAATACAAAATCCAATTAAGAAAGGACACGTGCAGGGATGGGCAGTATTTCAAATACAAGTATTTGAAATACGTATTTTAAATACTTTGTGTATTTTGCATTTGTATTTAATTACAAATTGGGTAATGTATTTGACGTGTGTATTTAAATACTAAAACGTGGGTATTTCAAATACAATTGTAATTAAATACAATTTTGTGGGCGAAAATACATTTCTCAAATTTATTGTCACTGTCCAGAGCAGTGAGAAAACTACGCTCTGAACCGAATGCAGTGTCTCTCAATCAAGCACAAGCGTTTAGTGACTGCGATTACGGTGCTAGTCCAGGGCAAGAATAGTGACGAAATCGACGTTCACAGGCAGACTGGCTAAATAAGTGCCTGTGACAACTTGTGATGATTTCCAGCGTGGTTTCCATCCATATTTTTGTCTTGAACATTCTAAATGCGCGGGTCATCCAGATTTTCGTAACTGATGCGAGTTGCAACAATAAACAAATATCTAGCTATAGTCAGTTACAGGTTAAGAAGGTAGCGGCAAATGCCCCTCAAAGGGAATCGGATATCCCTCCGCCACCTCCGCATCCAATAGCGTCCCACCGTTTCCGTGACGTTGCGGCCAACGCGCGAGGAGGGTCTTGCCTTTCTGTACATATTTGCTTTATCTTTCGACTTTGACTTAGCATTGTGGAAGCCACGAGAGGGAGATTAGAGTTCCCCCAACCGACGGAAACAAATACGACTTTCGGGGATTAGCTTCCCCCCCCCCGATGGATACAAAGGCTGCTTTCAGGGGCTCGGTTCCAACTCCGATGAATACAAAGGTCGCTTTCTTAAAAAGTGGGATCGGAGACAAGTGGGAATCCATTGAAGCGGAACAAGGAGCGTTTCCAGTGAACTCTTCTTTCGACTGCGGAGAGATTTGAAACGGGCGCATCACACTTGTGGGAGGAGCTTCTCCTACCTTCTTGACTTGTAACCGACTATAGTGCTGCGCGTCTTGGTCGTCTCGGTTCTTTGTTGGTCTATACCAAAAGGTAATCGAGAAGGAAAAGGTGCTTGAAGCTCTTTACTTTTTTCACCTATTACGTCCAAGCTGATTACATTTTTTTTGTGATTATATTTTTATTACGTTACTAGCGCCTTGCACACTA